AAATGACGTCATGAAGGAAATGAGAGCCGCTAGGGCAGTAGAGCACTTTGTCTGTCTCTACCTCCACACTCCAACCGCTGGGATTTCCGATTCCTCTGAAGCACGGAAAAATGTACAATTTACATCAAGTTTAAGGGCTAAGTTGTACCTGTGCCTCAGAACCCTATTCACTAGTTCTTCGTTTGTTATCCAAGGATGCGCTTCCACGGTATAAACTTCACCGTCCTGACTTGTCACATCAACGGCTGCATTGTGAAAACCGCAGAGTGCCCCCATCTCGAGACGAGAAGCAGGCAGGAGTCGAGCTGTCTGAAACCAAGTGTACTACCAGATTGTCGCTTTATCCGCTTTTTATCCGAAGTAAGTGTCCTGAGCGAATAAATGAAACAAGAAGGGCGGTTGGGAGATCCACCTTGCGGAGCTGCGGCATCTTGATAGACATTGTGCACGGCCGCTTGTGCCCAGTGGACAGTCAGTTTCCTCGCAGCGCCTCAAGGTGTGCCTACGGACCGACACTCAGGTATAGCAATGAAACGATCAAGCCCACGTGTGAAGAGCTCAAAATTTCAAAACGTTCATGCCCGAAAATTTACTGCTAAAACTGGTAACGTGGTTCGCTTGACGTAGAAGATTGTCATGCGTTACAGTACCTACCTGACTTTCCAACATATTCATTCTCCTTGCAATCGTATTAATCAACTGAGTTTGAAGCGGCAGTCGTTGTTCACCACAGAAACTAAAGCGGTTACTGTAGAAAAGACTGAACGTGATCGAAAAATATCGAAAAAAACTGAACGTGATCAAAAAATATCAAGTCCGTAAGCTTCATTATTCCTTGTTTCCGGTATTAGCGCCATTTCTTATAGTGCGGGCCCAGGGCGCTCGAATACAAACTGTACCAACACTTCCTCGGGCCCTGGTCTTTGCCATGTGTGAGGTGAATGGGTCCGCAGCTGAAGTAGCGTGCCACTTGCTACGGTCAAAAGTGGAGGCTAGGGATACTCAAGTGCCGTCTCGATACTTCGCCTGCGCTGCCGCATGGCTAGCGACGCCTCTAACCGTAGCCGAACGCGCTGCTTGTCTGCGCCCTCTCACTTCTGATTGTTC